TACCTCCAGTGAAACAGAGAGAGACTAACTCCTGTTTACTGTGTTAAGAGGCTGGATGCCGGCATTAAACTAGTCACTATCTTCAATTATGTTCAATAAAAAATGGCTAAAAAATTGAATATTAAACTTTTAAAATTATTGAATAGTATAAACTTCTTGATATTTACTAAAATAGTAAGGAATTTAAGCCCTAGAACGATTAATGTATTAGGACTGATACTAAAGCTGCCAAAACATGAGGTCGGTTCAGAAGAATTGCTAATCCTAATTTTTTTTTCTTAACCTAATTTTTTTTCACAACCAAGACCCTTATGGAAGGCAGTTCAACGAGGTAAATATATATATATATATATATATATATATATATATATATATATATATATATATATATATATATATATATATATATATATATATATATATATATATATATATATATACACACACACACACACACAGTATAGTGATTAAAGGCGATTTAGGGGAATTTTAGGAGTGTTTCTGACTTTCTGCATTTTTGGCTTTACTTTGTATGTACTTTTCTGTGAGCTGGAACCAATTACCCAATATTCCATGCCTCTGTGTCACCTACCATGTCTCTGTGTCACCTACCATGCCTCTGTGTCGCCTACCATGTCTCTGTGTCACCTACCATGCCTCTGTGTCATCTACCATGCCCCTGTGTCACCTACCATGCCTGTGTCACCTACCATGCCTCTGTGTCACCTACCATGCCTCTGTGTCGCCTACCATGTCTCTGTGTCGCCTACCATGTCTCTGTGTCACCTACCATGTCTCTGTGTCACCTAATATGCCTCTGTTTCACCTATGATGATGCTTCATTCTTTGCCTGCAGTACTGGTAAGTGTTACTTTGTGACATTTAGTAATTACATGTACTTACATATATGGGTCAATAATTTTATTTATTTGTTTATTTTTATTTATTTATGTAGGAGGGGGGGGAAGTGCCTCGATATGTCAGAATTTGGGATAACTTGGCAAGGCCCATGTGTGCCGAGTTATCAAGGGTTTACTGTACTACTTTAAACAACAAAAGATCTGTATGATACAGGCACGACTGGAGCTGTGTTACAGCAAAGACAAGTAATATTTTCCACACTTCACATGAAACTTTCCAAGAGTCTAAAGATGCATCTCATGGGATCTGTATTTATTTACACAAACACTACTGTACACTTACAATACTGTTCATACTATAAACAAAATAATGTACTGTACTCCTGGACAGTATTACTATACTATATATACTGTACTCACCAGCAGATCCTGTCATCTTGAACCTAGAGTAGGCAGACACTGTTCACTCAGCTGACTGTAATACGTAACCGTAATCACGTCTTGACACTTGTGATATAGGTTGGGTGGGAGATTAGTGGGTCACGTTACTGACCTGACCTGATGCAATATCAGGTCACCCATTGTAGGTGTGGGAGATTAGTGGGTCTTATGACCTGAAGATGTCTCGAAAAAAGACGAAAGGTAAGGTGCTCCAGTGTTTCCCACTTACTGAATGTACAATATAGTATACCGTACATAACTCTAATGACTTTTTACATTCTTAACACTGCTTTAACACTGTACTCATGGGTGATTTTGTTCTGGTACAGTAATGTACAACAGCTAGCGAGGGAACAACCTTCTACAATGGCAGCAGAATATGAGCTAAGCAATCCAAACAGCTAGGCCACCCACGTACCTGGCACGTTGGAATGGGTTGGAGCACAATGCAATCTTTCAGAATGCCCTGAAAATTTATTCCCAGGCCCAGAAATAATAATTTGTTGAGATTTTCCAGAATTTTTCAAATATGCACCTGATTTTCATTCTTGGACTTTGTTCCCAAATCCGGTAAGAGAATTTTTCCAGAAAATTTCTGAGCAAATTTCAGTTGCAGTTATTGGAGTTACAGCTAAGAAGGATTCCAGCTAACGAAGATATTACGTACTTGTATATGGGCCAACATCGTCAACGTGTGGAAAACAGCTGTAGAGAGGACACTGGCACAACTTTAGCAGCACACACAGTGTGAATGAGAAGTGCTAAGGAGGAAGCCCAGACGGTTTATGATCATGTCGCCTTGGTTCCCAACTGACTATAGTGTGTGGTCGAGAATAATGGTCAATGAAGAAAATGTTGATGGACTGGAAGTGTTGTACTGGGCTCATGTTATGTGTGTAGAAAGTAATGATTGTAATAAAAATTTAGTCTACAGCATAGTCTGCATTTACGCGGTCAATTGAACCCGTGGAGGCCCGCGTAAAACGAGAAACGCGTAAATGAAATAACAGAACATATGGGCTTAATTGAAATAGAGACTGGGCCAACCCCCAAACTCCACTTTTTCTGACACAATACGTACCTTGTAGTAAAATTAACATCTTAATTTTATGATGCTATGCACACACAATTAATAATTTAGAAAAATATCAATAATATTAGGTTTTTTAACACTTACGTTAGTAGGAAAGCTGAGTCGGCAGACGTGGATAGCGGCTGGTTCCGAGGCAGAGGGCAGATTAGTTGCCCTCCGGTGAATCACTTTCACTACTCGCAGAGGTTTGCAGGGCCTCCCAGACAAACCTCTCAAAGTCCATATCCTTACTGTCAATATCACTGTCACTGACTTGGGCTGGCTGTGGTTGTGGTGGGTTGCGGGCGAGGAAGTCCTCAATACTACGTTGATAACTAGCATTGATGTTGTCGAGATAGATCTGGATATACGGCTCCATAACTTTCGTCAGATGGTTATTAGACGCTTCATACCGATGCTTGTCTGGGTCGTTGTCAAGAATGAGCTTAAGTTTCTCCCCCAACTCGATGATTTCCTTCACATTATCATGGCTTGGTCCAGGTAATTCAATGTTTTTCTCTGGTGGTGAGGGTCCCGCGGAAGCCATTGTGAGTTGTGAGGGGAATAGCGGCACAAGAGAGAACTGTATACGCGGACTGAGAACAATGAGACAGGCCCTGCTAAGTCAGCGACTTCTACCCTCTGGTGGCAGGGCACGTCACGTTACATTAGACCAATCACAGCTAGCGATGGAGGGAATGCGTGGGTGGTAAGGATGTTTGGCCCAATCACAGTCCAATACGTCATATGACATCAGCGATAACGTAAGAGCGGCCTAATGCGCACTACTCACCGTGCCACTTCCCGCGTATGGTCAAGAATGGGCCGCGTGGGTAAGAAATGGCGCAGCGCTCTGGACCTCTCCAGCTGCTCGCCGCGTAAATGACCAAATTTACCGTGTAATTAAAGCATTTTCATTCTGACAAGGCACCGCGTAAATGACCAAACGCGTAAACAAAAACCGCGTAAATGCAGACTATACTGTATTTATTTATATATGCAAATACTAAAAAAAAAAAAAAAAATCTAACTTGCAGACGAAAGTACTGTATGATTTGTATAGTTTAAAAAAAAAAAAACATTCAAAAGATAATCACACATGTTTTAAAAATATATATATAATAAGCACAGGAATAAAAAATATTGTTAAGTTTCACATGCACAATTTAAAACATTGGTTCAACAGGCAAACATTTTGTTCAAAATGTTTTTCCATTTGTGTACCTAGGTAGGTCACAGAATGTAATGGCTGCCAATTACTGTAGTAAAATATGATATAACTAATAACAGAAACATTAAGGGAAAAACGCAATGACAACATGGGTAAAAAATTACTGTACAGTATACAGTAACCCCTTGGTTAACGAACTCAATCCGTTCCAGAAGGTCGTTCGTTAACCGGAAAGTTCGTTAACCGAAACCATTGTTTCAATGGGTTTTTGGGTAATTGGTTCCAGCTCACCGAAAATTTCCTAAATTCAACAAAAATGGTAGAAAAGTTCACTTACTTTGAGGTGTGTATGTAGAAGGCTCCTGGATGATGGTGATGGGAATTAGAATGGGGGTGGAGGAGAAGGCATTGGGGTGGAAGAGAAGTCACCCCATGGCACCATTTCACCCATAAAATTTTAGTTTTCTTGGTGTAATTCAAGATTATTTTCTTTAAATCAACACTGCACTGCATTATATATTGTCAATATGTAAAATATATTTCAAAATGACCAATAATTTGCTTGGAAACACAGAAAAAAGCGTTTAGTTGAAGAGACTCTCAAGCAAGATGTTACCTCCAGTGAAAACAGAGAGACTAACGCCTGTTTGCTGTGTTAAGAGGCTGGATGCCGCGCATTAAACTAGTCACTTTACCTTCAATTATGTTCAATAATTGTTAAAATGACTAAAAAATTGAATATTAAACTTTTAAAATTATTGAATAGTATAAACTTCTTGATATTTACTAAACTAGTAAGGAATTTAAGCCCTAGAACCGATTAATGTATTGGTGGACTGATACTAAAGCTGGTTGCCCGGTCAGTGCAAGCAAAAACATGTTGAGGCCGGTTCGTAAGAAATTCGTTAACCGAATTTTTGTTCGTTAACCGAATTGAAGATCCATATGGAAGGCAGTTCGTTAACCGAAATTTCGTTAACCGAGGCGTTCGTTAAACGAGGGGTCACTGTACAGTATATACATATTCACTATTTACTCTGGACATTCTGCCAAAGAACCAGTGAAACAGTAAGAAGTCAAGTTGCCAGCAGTAGAGTGTTATTTACTTTCATGTAACTCACTGTACTATGTTTCTAGGTAACATTAAGATAACTTCATAGACATAAATGGGATTGGACCAACTGTTTGAGGGTTCCATGCATCAACAAAATTTATATCTGTAGTTTGTAGTTCTCCAATTATGAGGAAACATTGTAATATAATAGTTTTGTTCATACAATCAGGTTTATTTAGCTAAACTTACTTGGAGGCTTTAAAAGATGAAACCCCTTAATATTTTCTTCTTAGATCTACATGATTCATGTGATTCGATCTTGAAATAAGGGGGGAAAAAGGAAATCTGGTAAACCAGAAAAATTACATCCCACTTGTATTAAATTAGCCAACATAGATTTACCTGTAGAGGCTGGAGTTGTCTGATGGCCTCCTGTGTGCAGCCTTGTAAGAGGTGAGACACTGCAGAGTAGAAGCGATAAATTGGATCATTGCCAAATTTCTTAGTTGCAGCGACACATGTGTCCTGCATTGCTTGGTAATACTGTTCCCTTCCATAATAATGGATTTTGCTCTGAAAACATTTATAAAATTATTGAACTATATACAAAACACATCTACATATTATTCATTGATGTATTCATGTAGCACCCTCCTGTTATTACAGCTCTGCCTATGAGAGAAGGACAAGTATCAAACCAGTCAGAAAAACTAAATAAATAAAATTATTATTCAAGGGACATGGTCCAGGAGCCATAATTACTTTCAAATTGAAAACATCAAGTTATAATTTTAAAAAAAGGAGAAAAAAAAAGAGGATTATGAAGGGTAAAGGCTATGGAGAGCATAACTAATTTAATTCATGAAATTGTTTTGACAGGACCTTTACTAAAATTGCAGTAAGAAAGCAAAGAAAAACAATTATAAACGTGTGAAAAATATATTTAAATCTCCACAGAAAGTGTCATGGTCTTGTCACTTCACTAAATGACTTGTGACAGTAGATGACACAAACTAATACAACTTAGTCAAACAACCTTAGGCTCAGGTTTAGTAAGGTTAGATTAGGTAGGTTTGTGTCATCTACTGTAGCTTAGATCTGGTAGGTTTGTGTCATCTACTGTAGTTTAAATCTGGCAGGTTTGTGTCATCTACTGTAGGTTAGATTAGGTAGGTTTGTGTCATCTACTGTAGTTTAGATCTGGCAGGTTTGTGTCATCTACTGTAGGTTAGATCTGGTAGGTTTGTGTCATCTACTGTAGCTTAGATCTGGTAGGTTTGTGTCATGTACTGTAGCTTAGATGTGGTAGGTTTGTGTCATCTACTGTAGCTTAGATGTGGTAGGTTTGTGTCATCTACTGTAGCTTAGATGTGGTAGGTTTGTGTCATCTACTGTAGCTTAGATGTGGTAGGTTTGTGTCATCTACTGTAGCTTAGATGTGGTAGGTTTGTGTCATCTACTGTAGCTTAGATCTGGTAGGTTTGTGTCATGTACTGTAGCTTAGATGTGGTAGGTTTGTGTCATCTACTGTAGCTTAGATGTGGTAGGTTTGTGTCATCTACTGTAGCTTAGATCTGGTAGGTTTGTGTCATCTACTGTAGCTTAGATGTGGTAGGTTTCTGTCATCTACTGTAGCTTAGATCTGGTAGGTTTGTGTCATGTACTGTAGCTTAGATCTGGTAGGTTTGTGTCATGTACTGTAGCTTAGATCTGGTAGGTTTGTGTCATGTACTGTAGCTTAGATCTGGTAGGTTTGTGTCATGTACTGTAGCTTAGATCTGGTAGGTTTGTGTCATCACAGTAGCATCTGTAGCTTTGTGTCATCTACTGTAGCTGATCTGTAGGTTTGTGTCATCTACTGTAGCTTAGATCTGGTAGGTTTGTGTCATGTAGCTAGATCTGTTTGTGTCATGTACTGTTAGATCTGGTAGGTTTGTGTCATCTACTGTAGTTAGATCTGGTAGGTTTGTGTCATGTACTGTAGCTTAGATCTGGTAGGTTTGTGTCATGTACTGTAGCTTAGATCTGGTAGGTTTGTGTCATCTACTGTAGCTTAGATCTTTGTGTCATGTACTGTAGCTTAGATTGGTAGGTTTGTGTCATGTACTAGCTGTCTGGTAGGTTTGTGTCAGATCTGGTAGGTTTGTGTCATCTACTGTAGCTTAGATGTGGTAGGTTTGTGTCATGTACTGTAGCTTAGATCTGGTAGGTTTGTGTCATCTACTGTAGCTTAGATCTGGTAGGTTTGTGTCATCTACTGTAGCTTAGATCTGGTAGGTTTGTGTCATGTACTGTCTGGAAGGTTTGTGTCATTACTGTAGCTTAGATCTGGTAGGTTTGTGTCATGTACTGTAGCTTAGATCTGGTAGGTTTGTGTCATCTACTGTAGCTTAGATGTGGTAGGTTTGTGTCATGTACTGTAGCTTAGATCTGGTAGGTTTGTGTCATGTACTGTAGCTTAGATCTGGTAGGTTTGTGTCATCTACTGTAGCTTAGATGTGGTAGGTTTGTGTCATGTACTGTAGCTTAGATGTGGTAGGTTTGTGTCATCTACTGTAACTTAGATCTGGTAGGTTTGTGTCATGTACTGTAGCTTAGATCTGGTAGGTTTGTGTCATGTACTGTAGCTTAGATCTGGTAGGTTTGTGTCATGTACTGTAGCTTAGATGTGGTAGGTTTGTGTCATCTACTGTAGCTTAGATCTGGTAGGTTTGTGTCATCTACTGTAGCTTAGATGTGGTAGGTTTGTGTCATCTACTGTAGCTTAGATGTGGTAGGTTTGTGTCATCTACTGTAGCTTAGATGTGGTAGGTTTGTGTCATCTACTGTAGCTTAGATCTGGTAGGTTTGTGTCATGTACTGTAGCTTAGATCTGGTAGGTTTGTGTCATCTACTGTAGCTTAGATCTGGTAGGTTTGTGTCATGTACTGTAGCTTAGATGTGGTAGGTTTGTGTCATCTACTGTAGCTTAGATCTGGTAGGTTTGTGTCATCTACTGTAGCTTAGATCTGGTAGGTTTGTGTCATGTACTGTAGCTTAGATCTGGTAGGTTTGTGTCATGTACTGTAGCTTAGATGTGGTAGGTTTGTGTCATCTACTGTAGCTTAGATCTGGTAGGTTTGTGTCATCTACTGTAGCTTAGATCTGGTAGGTTTGTGTCATGTACTGTAGCTTAGATCTGGTAGGTTTGTGTCATGTACTGTAGCTTAGATGTGGTAGGTTTGTGTCATCTACTGTAGCTTAGATCTGGTAGGTTTGTGTCATCTACTGTAGCTTAGATCTGGTAGGTTTGTGTCATGTACTGTAGATCTGGTAGGTTTGTGTCATGTACTGTAGCTTAGATCTGGTAGGTTTGTGTCATCTACTGTAGCTTAGATCTGGTAGGTTTGTGTCATCTACTGTAGCTTAGATCTGGAAGGTTTGTGTCATCTACTGTAGCTTAGATGTGGTAGGTTTGTGTCATCTACTGTAGCTTAGATCTGGTAGGTTTGTGTCATGTACTGTAGCTTAGATCTGGTAGGTTTGTGTCAGCTACTGTAGGTTAGATCTGGAAGGTTTGTGTCATGTACTGTAGCTTAGATGTGGTAGGTTTGTGTCATCTACTGTAGCTTAGATCTGGTAGGTTTGTGTCATGTACTGTAGCTTAGATCTGGTAGGTTTGTCATCTCCTGTAGCTTAGATGTGGTAGGTTTGTGTCATCTACTGTAGCTTAGATCTGGTAGGTTTATGACATTTACTGTAGGGGATACACCCCATTTTGTCACCAATATCAAATCTGTTTTGTCACCACTAACAGTCGCTGGTATTAGTGACAAATTGTAAGTTATTATTTTATATGAATAGAAATTATACAAGTACAGACAGACCCCGACTTACAACTGCTACGACTTACGACCGCTACGACTTACGACCGCCTCAGATTTTTTATTAAAAAAAAAATAATAATAATAATTTTTTTTTTAATGACACGCATTTTCTATACCGAAACGTTTCCAGTTAATGTAGTCTCCATGTATAATTAGAAAATTATGGGGGCCCCATGTGCATTCAGCTGACTACATTAAAGGTAAGTGCTCAGTCACACTGTAACCATTCCTTATTATTTATTACTTTCACTGTACTGTATCCATTCCTCATTATTCATTACTTTTACTGTACTGTATTTCATTGTAGATTATTTATTTAAAAAAAAAAATAAAAATAAATTTTTTTTTTTTTTTTTTATCTATGTCGGACTTACGACCTGGATTTGGGTCCCTAACCCCGTCGTAAGTCGGGGTCTATCTGTATACAGACGACTCGAGAAGTAATGTGTTGTTATTACAGTATTATACATGAAAATTAATCATTTAATAAATAAAATGATTAAAACATGGGTAAATAAACAAAATACAGAACAAATGAAGGTGATTTGGCACCAGCGCATAAACCTCCATGCCCCTCTTCTTCACAGAGAAGCCTCAATGATAAAATCGTGCACAAGAAAAGCAAATTATGACAAACATGTCCATCTCTGGAAAGTGAGGGATGAATATGAAGAAAAAAATATCACCACTTTTAATTTCCGAAAAAACTATCAGTGTCTTCTTCCAAAGTTCCAAGCTTACATGGATATTAACAATGTTTTTATTAAAAAAAAAAAAAAATTCTTTCACATATTGTTTAAGTGAGATGACTGCAGACGTATTAGCAATGTTTTAATTTTTTTTCGTTTTAGTCTTTAATAAATTGTTTAAGTGAGATGCTTGCACGAGTAATAACATTTTTATTTTTTATTTTCGTCTTTAATAAATTGTTTTAGTGATATGCTTGCATGATCCATATTGTTATGCTGAGGCATAATTTCGTAATACAATTTTGTAAACTTGGAGTTTTGATAATTTTCGTGTATATATTGATGCATTTATTATGTAAGAATTTTCTGGAATGTATTGACCTTGAAATGGTGATAGGAATGAGGGCGGAAACGAAACGGGTAAAAGCAGTGGTGACAAAACAGGTGAAAACAGTGGTGACGAAGCGGATGAAAACAGTGGTGATGAAACGGGTGAAAACAGTGTTGACGAAATGGGCACACCCCACTGTAGGTAATATCTGGTAGGTTTGTGTCATCTATAGTATGTTAGATCTCGTAGGTTTGTAAAATGTTAGTGGATATTTTGCCGTGATCAGTAAGTTCCTACTAACACTATTTTATTGTGAGTGCGTTCTGATTGGCTAATCGTCCATTACCAACGAACAACACAAGGACTATACAGCTCCTCCCCGACTTACGACCTGCCTCAGTCATACCAAAATTTTGTCAAATTATGTATTTTCGAGTCCCAACGTCAGTACACAGACAAAATTTTCGTTTGTAATTCACTTTAAAATGGCTGGCAAGCTTAAAAGTGAGAGTTTTGTGGTGCTGAGAAGAAAAAGAGACACCCATTTTAGATTTTCTATGTATTATTTAAGCATTTTCGGCTTACGACCATTTCGACTTACGACCTGGATTTGGGTCCCGAACCCCGTCGTAAGTCAGGAAGGAGCTGTATTTGACCGTGACTCTGGTGGCATTTGGCATTTATATC